ACAGTCTGGGCAACTGATCTCTGCCCACCACCACCACCACCCCTTTCTTTCTGCAGACCCTGGCCACCAGGAAGGGGTGGTGTTGAATGCTCTTGAGTGCCCCCTCTGGCTGCTGCTGAGAAGAGAGGGCAGGGGATGCGGGTGGAAGCAGGAGCCCAGAGGGAGAGGCTGGGCGCTCAGACAATGGGCCCCAGACTGTCCATTGTAGGTTAGGTGTTGGGCTGCTGACCAGGGGAGTCCATGTGAGGAGTTTGGTTCTGGATGGGACCTTTGGGTAGAGCCCCGGCAGGACTGCTGGTGGGTCACATACTGGAGTGGCCCTGGCTCATGGAGCATCAAGGATGAGGTGGCCAGATTTTAACATTGGTAAAGTGGGACAAAAGTGGGACACCATTGATAAAACTCCTATCCTGGCAAAATAGCCACATGGCAGCCGAAAACTGTATACGCTAGCTTGCTGTGCATTCTTTCCAAAAATCGGGACTTTTTAAAAACACCGCGGGACGTGGGAAAAATTGTTAAAAATTGGGACTGTCCCACCAAAAGCAGGACGTCTGGTCACTTTAAGGAGCAGGTGAAAGAGGTCGAGCGCGCACCTGGGCCCCTTCCTTGTTTCTGTCCCCCTTGTGGCACTTCACCCCATCACACAACTGGACGGACTGACTTGTCTCCCTCACTAGAATGCCAGCTCAGTGAGGGCAGGGTTTTTTGTTTTTCTTCCAACTGCTGCCTCCCCAATGCCTAACACACAGCTCAAACCCGAACCCACTGCGGTCTAGTTCATCACTCTGCTCTGGGTTTCTCAGGAGCGTGTGCATCTGTCAGGGAGCAGACAGCCTCATCTTCCTCCCAAGGAGCAGCTGCTGGGCTTGAACTACCGGCCTTCAAGCTAGCAGCCCAACACCTAATCAATAGCAGCACCTGGGCTCCTTGCCTACATGCTTCATCAATACTGTTGAGGGTAGGAATGAATGATACATTTCAAGGCTGCACTTTTGTTGGTCTAGGGCAGTCAGACCTGCTGTGGTTGGTGGGGTGGCAGGGTCAAAGGGGGCAGCTGATCCCTGTCAAAATCTCTCCATGGGACCTCAGGCAAGTTGTCTTACCCGCTTTCTGCCCATTGGCCTCAACAGCATCCTGGCACTGATATCGGCCAAAGGTGATTTCTTGTGGACTCAGGATCCGGGAACAAGGCCCAGGGCCTCCCTGTGGGGTGGGGGGCAGGGCCCAGAATGGCCCCTGCCTCAGGAAGCCCTGCTGAGCGCCTTTGCCAAAGGTGCTGCATATAAATAGCAGGTGGCTCAATTATTATCCTTCCCTAATCCAAGCAGGTTCCTAATCCTGGGCAGGTTTGTGTGCGTGCACACATGCGTGCATACATGTGTGTGTTGTAAAGAGCAGTAAATAGGTTCGTAATCCTGGGCAGGTGTGTGTGTGTGTGTTATATGTCTCGTAAAGAATAGTGTACAGGCCGAACCTTCTGGAAGCCTAGGCCAGGAGCTGTCTCCTCTCTGATCTTCCCCAGCAGCCCCTAGATATGAGTGATGGTCATCTACAGGGTCCAGGCCAGGTTCTGCCCAAAGAGCTGGGGACTTTGCCCTGCCCGCACCTCATTTGCTAAGGATCTCACCGGTAACATGCTTCTGTGCCCCACTCCCCCAATCTGCTCTCCGCTGGAGTGGCCTTTTAAACGCATAAATCAGACCATGGCACCCTTCTGCTCACAGTTCTCCAGTGGTTTCCCTATTGGGGGAGCGGGGAGAGAAACACAGCCTAGTCGCCCAGGGCCTCCTGGGGCCGGCCTCCCCACCCTCTTCACCCTTTTCTTGTTCCCCTCCAGTGGGGCTGGCCTGCTGTGGTAGTGAAATGCTGTCTGGTTGGTTCTGACTCAAAGGGACCTGTGTGTGTGTGTGTGTGTGTGTGTGTGTGTGTGTGTGTGTGTGTGTGTGTGTGTGCAGCATGGAAAAAATGCCATGGGGTTTTCTAGGCTGGGATACTCTTGTAAGCAGATCCATCAGACCTCATGTTCCCCACTGCCCCTGGGGAGGTATGAACCACCTTAACCCTTTGTAGGATGAGCCTGGAACCCTTACAGCTGTTCTTCTTTCACCCTGGGACACCTTTAGCCGCCTCCCTCATGTGCAGCCCCTTTCTCTGGCTCAGCCCAGCCCCCCAGCCCCCCTGCCCACTGTCTTCAAGGGAGGCCTGGCCTGACCACTCTTATCTAAATGAGCTCACCTCTCTCTCAGCTCAATCTTCTGTTGTTCATTCATGATGGGTGCTGGTCTACTATCTGTCTCCCCTACAAGCCTGGTGTGGGCTGACGCTTATCTAGCCCCCACCTGCAGAGAATTGAGAATTCCCTTGAACCTCATATGCTGTCCAGTACCTGTGGGTTCCCAAGAGGCACAGTCAGACACATTACTCATTTCCCCCATACGGATGCTGGGCACTGTTGTCTTTTGTAAACCCAATTGTCTAATCCTCACCACAGCCCTTTTCAGGCAGTTATTCATGTTGTTCCCGTTTCAGATGAGGAAAGTGAGGCTCCTAAAGTGGTGGTGGCAGGACTTGAACTCAGGGAGTTCAAACCCTTGCTTTGGGCAGCTGTATTCTGCCTGCCTCCCAGTCTTAGCATCAGAGCAAGACCAGCACCTTCATCGGGGAATCCAACTTGGCTCCTCCCCCACGCCTTGCACAGTGGTCTTAGGGAAGGCTGCTCCCCTAGTGGGCATCACCTTGCTCCTAATTTACAGGGTGGGGCCTTCCCTAGACCTGGCAGGTTCCCTATGAGCCAGACAGATGTTGTCATTGTCTAGCTAACTGCCCTGGAGACCTCTCAGCAGAGTAGAGACTCCAAGGAAAGGCAGACTGCCAGGCCAGTCTTCTGCTGCGCCAATCTTTAGTCAAGCACTTAACCACGTGTTCCTCTTAATTGCCTCCCTCAGCAAGATTAGTAGCTGTGAACTTACTACCCACCCCAGAGCCCTCCCACAGACCAGAGCCTTATTTTGCGGGGTGGGGGCACAACACCCACCACCACCACCACCCATCTCCCATGGGGTGCAGAGTTGCCGTTGGGAAAAAAAGGGAGAGACTCACAGGGCGCCGAGAGGGCACAATTGTTCTTTCTTTTTTCGACCTCCAGGCTCCATACTAAGAGGCCGGGCCTCTTCCCCCAGCCCTCCTCCTCTTCTTCCTCATCTTCCTGATCTACTGCCCGCCATCTCTCCTGAACTAGAGCCCAGTGCCCCGCGACACACATTCCTGCTTCGGCCCTCTCCGCCCACGGGACGCGCCATCTGTCCCAGGGAGCTACCTGGCCACCTCCGCAGGGAGACCGCCGACCCTTCCCCTTGCCCGCCTGCCACAACCCCCTGCTCGCTCCTTCTTCCTCCCGGCCCCTCTTTTCCAGGCGGCACCTAAGTCCTTCCTACACAGACGCTATTTTTGTACCATCACTCTCTCCTTCCTTCCCCCCTTCCCCCCACATCCCCACTTACTTCCTGCTTTCCCTTCACCTCGGCCCCGCTAGGAAAGAATCCGGCCCCCCTCGCCGCACACCCCCCACCCCGCCCCACGAGGGGCCCTTCAGCTTCAGGGCACAGGGGCAGGGCCACTTGGTGAGGGGTAAAGGGGATGCGCCCCCCCTCCCGCCCCTGCACAGACACACACGCGCGCGCATACGCCTGGGCCGCCCCCTGCCTCCCGCCAGCGGGGAGCGGGGACTAACCGGGAACTGACCGCGGCCCGAGTCCGGAGGCGAGGGGGCGCCCTGCCGCAACTTCCCCAGTCCACCTTAAAAGGACGTCGTCGCCAGCTCGCGGCGCTGACCTTAGGAAAACAAGTTTGCGCAAAG